ACTTGGTCACTTCTTCCACCACCTCTGAAGGCAAGTCAACCACTGACTGATAGTGCCCAATAGGCAAAATCAAGACGTGATCAGGTAATAAGCCACCTTTGGCCAGGGCAAGATAGCACTAGAGTGAAACAATACACACCAGTTACTCACTGCAAGCAACACTTACTTACCATGCTGTGGAAATTTACTCTCTGGCTGCATTCTGAGTATCTCCCAGCCTAGCAATTCTGCCTCAGGAACAGGAGAGTCTTCTCCTCTATGTCACTTATTAGGGATTGTTTATTAGCAATTTATTAATTACTAGAGGAATGATTTTTGAATGCCAGAGAATGCCCTGTCTGCAGGAAAGCAGCTGAGTGAACTTCACCACTGTGGCTAGAATTTCTTACTATAACAAGAAAATACACTTGAAAATTGTTAACGGCTTTTAAAATAAGCCCATGGACAAACCTGTCCCTGTAACAGTTTGAAGTGGATTATGCTATACGGGAGCAAAAACTTCAAGCAAAGTGAACATACCGATGAGATGTACTCTGAGATATCAACTTTAAAGCTATCTTATCTTCTGTTTAATCTATACATAACAAAACTAGAACCAATCATCCCAGGGAGATCTGGCATAACTCCAGACAGTGCATCCCGCTGCCAAAGCAGGTCCCAGTTTACACTGGGTTTGTGCTGGAAAAGTTCTGCCAGATGGTAACATAAGCAAACCATGAGGGCTGGCACAGCAAAAAGTGTTCTGGTACCATAATCCAGCTCTGCTGCCAGAGCAAAACAGGGCCAAGCTTCATTTTTTAGAAGACTTCATCTATATACTTATGTCTTTTGTGGGGGAGACGCGAAGAAACTGAAAACAAAACCAAGAGTCAGCCTCAAATAAAGTTTGGTTGGTTGGCTTTTTTAAGATTTTTAAAGCGGAGATTGATCTTTCACATTGCCGTGTCTTAGCACGATTCTGCCATCATGTAGCAAAGAACATGCTACAGGTACTTACATGCGTGCCAATGCTAACAACCAAGTGCTTCTCAACTTCTGGGCTGGCGAGGCAGAACCAGCAGGGACCCGTGGGCTGTGCTTTATCGGGAGAGGAAAGAGAAACAAGTGTTAGCACAAAACTCATTTGTCAGAACAAGGAACAGAACAAGATCTGGAAGAGCTGTTATTTTCCAGCCACCCTCGCCAGTTGATGAAGTGCTGAAGATGTCAAAAGGACACAGCTCCTGGAAGCAGATCTGGTCAGAGAACTGGCACCTCTGAGAAATTCCAGCAAGAGAGGAGGTGGCGACAGTCACACCCTTGCTGACCGCCATTCTCATCAAGTGCTCTAATTTAATGGAAGAGTTCCTGGAATTTAGTGGTTACAGCTCACTAACAGGACAGCACCAGCAAATTTAAAACAAACAAATCAAAACCGAGGTGAAATTACTGCATAGGTACAGACAAGGACAGATGCTGTCAAACACACTTGTCAGTTCTGGCCTATTCATCACACTCAAAACACCTGGATTCGCACCCAAATCACGATACCTGAGCTGATTTTTAATATAAGTTGATGGCATTGATCAGCTAAGCCTCTCCTTAGGGTCAAACACTATATTCACATCCTCTGCAGGCTGTGTACAAGAATAGACAAGCAGCTTTGCAAATGCAGTAAATACGACGGGGCTCTCCCAAGAGCTGCAGGAAACCGAATGTCCAATTCTGGGGTTCATTTCTGAACAAAACAGTGTAACAAGGCTCTCTTCTCATGCTATCAAACTCCAGAAGACTTTGGAAGTTGTATGAACATGCACAATGGCACACTATGTCCTACAGACACGATGGGGGAAAACAAGAAAACCCCCACACATTCTTTCATCAAAACTGACTGCCATTACAGCCAGTTGTGCCTCTGCAGGCACGCATAGAGCAATGACACCGTGCTCGTGTCAGCGTAAAGTAATTTAGCCTGTAGAACTGTTATGTGCAAGGACTTAGTCTCATGTAACAAAGGCAACCAGACTTATCTATACCAGAGGCATTTTTGAAGAATGCCTTCTTACCCACTGGCAGTGGGAATAGCTTTCACAGAAACAAAGGGGAGGCCGACATCTACATTTGCATTTTAAGCCCAAATTTCTTTATAACCGAGACCAACATTTCTAAAGATACATGCTTGCAGCAACACTGTCACTGAGAAGTCATGATCCTTGAAGAGTTCATTTCCATTTCTTCAAGTCAGACAAACTCTAAGGAGATTTACAGCACAGAAATACAGAGGTAACAGAAGGGCTTCCTTCTTTCCCAGTTCAATAATACTTCGTGAATTCATAGCACAGAACAACTGAAGCGGTGTTTCAAGAACTCATCAGCTCTGCGATCCTGTAGTCTCTGGCAGTCCCTCTGAATGGAAACATGCTGCTTCGTGAAACTGCCTGTTGTCATGTTCCGAGGCCAGTCGGTTTCAGAGGGTAAACGGCATCAGCCCAAGCACCACCACTACCACAGATCCAGC